CTTAGAGGTAATTCTGTTTTGTATATGGCATGCTGCAAGAAGAGCTTCACCCCATAAATATGTAGGAAAATTTGCATTTATGATCATTGAATTAATCATATCAGTGAGTGTCCTATTTTTTCTTTCTGATAAGCCATTTTGTTGTGGAGTGTAAGGTGCAGTTTTTTTATGAATGATTCCATGTTCTTCACAAAACAAAGAGAATTCATTTGAAAAATATTCACCACCTCTATCACTCCGAAGGATTTTAATTTTCCTTTCCTTTTGGTTTTCAACCTCAGCCTTATATCGTTTGAAAACCTCAAAGGCTTCATCTTTATTAGACATTAAATAAACATAAGTAAATCTAGAACAGTCATCAATGAAAGTAATAAAATAGTGTTTTCCTCCTCTAGTTAAAGCACCATTAAACTCACATATATCAGAATGAACTAAATCTAATATTTCTGTATTTCTTTCTTCTTTTTAAAAAGGTTTCTTTGTAATTTTAGCTTGTGTGTAGATTTCACAATTTTTAAATGTAACATCTTTACAAGAAATTAAATCATGTTTAGACAAATATTTTAAAGATCTATAATTTAAATGTGCTAAATGAGCATGCCATAAAGTAGAAGAAGAGTCAATAATATAAACAAAATAATCCACTTTATTGATACTGAGTTTGAACATTCCATCAAATGAATAACCCTTGCCAACAAATACACCATTCTTTGACATTATAAATTTATCGGCTTCCAACATCACTTTAATACCACTTTTACATGGTAGATTTGCAGATACAAGATTTTTCTTAATGTCTGGGACATGAAAAACATTTGTCAAAGTCATTGTTTTTTCAGAAGTGAATTGTAGTTCAACAGTCCCTTTTCCAAGAACCTTAGCACCATTGTGATTGCCCATTAGTACTTCTTGACCATCCTCTTCAGTTTTGTAGATCTTGAATTGTGCTCTATCATTGCAAACATGTATGGTAACACCAGAATCAAGCCACCAGTCAGAAGATTTAACGGCTGCAGCCATGTTCAATTCAGTGATCATGCCAATTTGCATTTCAGACACCATAGCAATTATATATTTAGTATGAGTTTCCTCTACCATATTTGCTTTGTTTAATTTGGCGTCCTCATTTTTCTTGAACCTGCAATCACGAAAAAAGTGCCCTTTCTTTCAACAATGGTGGCAAGTTGCATTTTTCTTGCCACTGTTGGTGCCAAAAGATGTCTTTTTGAACTTTCCTAGGTTATTCGTTTTCAAGTTCTTTTTAAACTTATTCTTGCTCCCTTCAACATAATTAATCTTAGTGAAGTCTTGTGAGGAAAAATATTTTTCTCGTTTTCTCGTTTCCTCTTCAATTTGGATCCCCTTCAAGAGATCTTGGAGACTTATATCTTATGCCATATGCAAAAGCTTATTTCTATAATTGTTCCAACCAGGGGGTAATTTTGATATGATAGCCCCTACTTGTAATGCATCAGGAACAATTATTTTTTACTTTACGAAGCTTTGTGACTAAAAGTAATAAATCTTGAACTTGGTTCACAATGGATTTGCCATCAATCATAGTGAATTCATAGAACTTAAACATGATAAATTTATCGGTACCTTTTTTCTTCGATGTATACTTCTCTTCAAGAGCATTCCAGATTTCTCTTGGAGATTGAGTTGTAGAAAATAAATTGTAGAGCGGATCCGACAAAGTATTCAGGATATGTCCTCTGCACATCAATTCATCATCTTCATGCTTCTTTTGGTTGGCAATAATTTGTTCAATATCTGCATCATTAGGTTCAGGAATTGGCTGCAGATTTGGATCAAGAACATAGGCAATTTTCAGGGTCATCAGCATCCAGCGTATTTTGTCCTTCCAGGGCATGAAATTGGTTCCATCAAACTTGTCGAGTTTCCAGAAAGCACCGTCATTCATTGCAGACAAAGCCATAGTTTCGGACATCTTCTCCGTTGCGAATATCACTTTAAGATTGTTAGAATAAGGTTGAGAATTTGATAGAAAAATGACTTTGAGGCACGTTAATACGTTTTCCTTAAAGTGATATTTGCCCCCACTCTAATATGAGTTTGCTAACGGGTCTAAAGCAAATCACTTCTAGGATACAACAAAGTTTGGAATTTTAGTTTAGCAAGAACTGAAATTCCCTAAAAATCTTTTAAAAGAAAACTGTATGATTTTGATGGAGAGAAGGAGGATGAGAAACTATTGTTTGAAGAATTATATATATCCAAATATGTAGCCAACATGGACTATATATAGATACTATGGAACCCTTTGAAGATGAATCAAAGTGTGCATATAAAAAGTCATGTTCTTTACTGCATCATTACCACTGAATGGATGCATCTTTTAATCAAAGCTGCACCCTGCTGCATCCTTTCATTTTCTGAAAAGACAACCTGCTGCACCCTTTCATTTTTTCTGAAAAGATGCAATCCTATTGCTACACAGCAACTGCAGCCATGCTTCTTCAATCTAAGAGACACGCCAAATGGAAGGAAAAAAGGCACGGTATTGCAGCCAAAAGCACATCACTGCAGCCTTTCTCCCATTATACACGCAAGCAACACCATAAATATATATATATATATATATATAGGGCATGGCATTGCAGCCAATCTCTCACGCAACACCATATATATATATTAATGAAATACACCAACAGAAAATGCAGGTTTGCATTACTACGTATGCGTATCCCAGGTTTTAATTTCAGTTTCTTGGTTAGCCACCAAAGTTTTGACTTTGATACTTTCGTTCATATATATGCAGAGTTTTGGAAGTCAGGTGTGGGATGCTAGTATGGCCATTCAAGCGTTGCTTGCTGGAAATCTCAACAATGAACTAGGATCTGTACTTACTAAAGGACATGAGTTCCTAAAGAAATCGCAGGTTTCTGTACTCAAGTGCTACGATAGCCTTTTCTTATTATGTTATTTCATTTCACTGTGACATCAAGCTGAATTTTGAGTTGGCTTAAATATGCATCCTCTTGTAATGTTACAGATTAGCGAGAATCCTTCCGGTGACTTTGTAGCCCATTTTTGCCACATTTCTAAAGGAGGATGGGCCTTCTCTGATCAAGACCTCGGATGGCAAGTTTCTGATTGCACAACAGAAGCTTTGAAGGTGATTTATTTTTATTTTCACGTCAAGAATTAAGCAGTGAGCATTACAATTATACGATATTTACTATGTTTTGCAGTGTTGCCTATTATTATCGATGCTTCCACCAGAACTCGTCGGTGAACAACTAGAACCTGAGCGTTTATATGATGCTGTCAATATCATAATTTCTCTGCAGGTGAGGATTAGATTGAATTACAAACATGGTTTCTAGTACATCTTTAAATGGAATTGAATTTTCTCACTACCTACTCCCTTATTATTTGAATCAGAGTCCGACTGGTGGTGTATCGGCATGGGAACCAACGGGAGCTCCAAAGTGGTTGGAGGTAAATAAATCTTTTAAGTGATCAAAAGAATTAAAATCTACACATTGTTTAATTGTGTATCTTGACATGCAAATAATTCATATTTCTACTTCAGTGGCTAAATCCTATAGAATTTCTGGAGCATGTCGTCATTGAATATGAGTAAAACTCAATCCAACCTCTTCCATTGTCTAGTTCTTTAAGTTGTAGACTATATTCCTTGAAGACTAACATAAGATCCAATCAGGTATGTCGAGTGCACCTCATCTGCAATCCAGGCATTAGTTTTGTTTAGGAAGTTATACCCCGGTCACAGGAAGAGACAGATAGATAATTCCATCACTACTGCTGCAGCATACATCGAAGACATACAAAACACTGATGGATCATGGTACATGTTCCATGTTTGAAACATTTTTGTTTTACACTTGTGTTAGAGGAATAATGCTAAAAAAGCAATCGGATTAATTCACAGGTATGGAAACTGGGGAATCTGCTTCATGTATGGAACTTGGTTTGCAATTAAAGGGTTAGAGGCTGCTGGCAGGACTTATTACAATTGTGAGGCGGTACGAAGAAGTGTTGAATTTTTACTCAAAACGCAGACAGATGATGGTGATTGGGGAGAGAGCTACACCTCTTGTACAAACAAGGTCCTGTTCCCCAAAGTACTCATAGTTACAACATTTCATCTTTAACCATCAATTGGACTAGAAATTTCTCACTTCAGAATAAATTTATTAGTGGTTCTACAGATCTATACACCTCTTGAAGGAGACCGATCTAATTTGGTGCAAACTGCAATGGGACTAATGTCTTTAATTCTCAGTGGACAGGTCAGTACATGAGTGTTTACACATCAAGCTATGTGCTAGCCACTTCCCCAGTTATTCTTCTATATTCTTCTCTCCAACTGGTCTATTTTCAAACTTATCTTTCTTGTTTGATAATAGGCGGAAAGAGACCCTACTCCTATTCACCGAGCTGCAAAGCTGTTGATCAATTCTCAATTGGAAAATGGTGAATTCCCTCAGCAGGTAGCAGTCTTGAATACCATATATTCTGCAGCAGGGGAATATAAAAAGGATAGCCCTTAGTTAATAAGTGCTAGCAAGTAGTAGCCGCAGGTCACTCATCCTTTCCCTTTTTTTCCTCATGGCAGGAAGTGGTAGGAGTTTTCATGAGGAATATCACATTGCACTACGCCCCATACAGGAATACTTTTCCAATTTGGGCTCTTGCAGAATACTGCAGTATGTTACAAAAATGGAAGTAGAGGCTAACAAAAGGCTAAGCAGTAAGCACACCGTTAAATAGAAGGTTATGTTTCTTCTTCTTCTCATTAGTTTAGATACCAGATTCCGAATCAACCCTTCAGGTTCTGTAAGAGTAAAAAGCCGGCATCGAATGAAGATTCTTACGGCGTTTCAATGGGGAGTGAATCAAGTTGGAGCAGAAAGTACTAAAATGTAACAGATTTTCAAGGAAACCTCATATTCATTTAGTTTGTATGAGATATGACATTTCACAATGCATGATACATGTGTGTTTAAGTAAAATATAAATATATATATTTGCATAGATTTCATTCTTCAGCGGTTACAAGTTCATCAACTCTACAGACATAAAAGACGAAAGGAAAAAAATTGACACAACAAAAACTAGGTTTTATTGGTTCTGGTTGTATTGGCAAGTCCAATGAATTTCCTTTAGCTTGTGATCCAAGGCTCAAGCAATCTTTTTTATAGGCAACGAAACCAGCGTGCGGTATTCTCCAAGAGCCCACAATGGGAAGATGTTTCTGTATGCTGCATAGTGCAACATAGCATTCCTCATAAAAACTCCCATCAGTTCCTGTTGTGGGAAATCGCCATCATCCAATTGACCTTTCATTAACACCGCAGCAGCACGGTGAATAGGAGTTGGATCTCTCTCAGCCTATAGCAAAGAAAACAAAGTCATTTAGAAATTTATGTTTGGAGGAAATTGTGAAGAGCCAAAACAAAACACCTCTGAAATGTTTAAAGTCATATACTGACCTGTCGACCATGAATCAGACCCATTAATCCGAGTGCAGTTTGGACCAAATTTGTGCTATCTTGAGCTGTATATTTCTGAGGACATAGAACAAGTAAAATATTAGGATTATGCTTTCTTTGACGTCAAAAAGGTTACATTTTCGTTACTAATGAATTTGATTGGTACCTTGTTTGTGCATGAGGTGTAGTGCTCTCCCCAGCCACCATCTGCCCTTTGTGTTTTTAGCAAAAAGTCAACACCTTTGCGCACTGCCTCGCAGTTGTTGTATGTCCTACCAGCGGCCTCCAGCCCTTTGATTGCGAACCATGTACCATACACGAAGCAGATTCCCCAGTTTCCATACCATGAGCCATCAGGGTACTGTATGTCTTCAATGTAGTCTGCTGCCCTCGTGATGAAATTGTTGATCTCCTTCCTTCTATGGCCAGGGTACAACTTCCTAAACAAAGTTAAGGCCTGGATCGAAGATGAAGTGCATTCGATGTACTCGTACTCAATGACAAGGTCCTCAAGAAACTCCACAGGGTTGAGCCACTGAAGAGGGAAAACAATTTAGTATATGCAAGTTATGAGACATAGTGAAATGACGAAATCTTTTAAATTCTTCGAACAAAGTATAAGATTTTCAATTTTTATTACCTCCAACCATTTTGGTGCTCCTGTTGGCTCCCAGGCTGATACACCACCATTTGGACTCTGAAGAGTCAAGATGACATTGACAGCATCATACATACACTCAGCTTCCATTGGCTCACCAACGAGTTCTGGGGACATATTTGCGAAAATGCAGCAACACTGAAACAAAACATGTTACAAGTTAGCAACATTTTCATCATAGATGAGAGGCACAATCTTCAACTTGAGTTAAGTACACGAGTAAAATCACTCACCCTCAGTGCTTCTGCAGTACAATCCGACACTTGCCATCCATGGTCACGGTCAGAGAATGTCCACGCGCCCTTAGAAACGTGACGGAAATGAGCTAGATAGTCACCAGATGTATTCACCCTCACCTACAATGTTACATGTAGGATGTGTACTTTTAGGTTAACTGAAAATCTCAACACATTTGAGTATGTCAAAGACAGTTTCCATGACTTGAATATGTACCTGAGATATCTTGAGAAATTCGTGTGCTTTCTTAAGGGTAGGTGCCATTTCAGTATTTAGATTGCCAGCAAGCAAAGCTTGAATCACAAGAGCACAATCCCATGACTGGCTTCCAAAACTCTGCATCTTGATTCCATCCTCTCCGAGCCAGATATAATCAGTAACTCTAGGAAGATGCTTCTTGAAAGCTTCTCCACTAGGATCCTCGGCCCAGCAAGCAAGCATCATTAATGGCTTTTCCACACATCCGATTGTAATGTAGCGACTGTTCTCATCTTCGTAATGAATTTGGTCAATTGTGAATTGAATGGCATTGTCTCTGATCTTCTTGAAGGGCCAGCGTTTTAGGAGAGGCTCAGCAATATTGTAAAAACTGTCCCACATAAAACGTTGTACACGACCATGGGGATAGTAGTTATCGTCCTGAATTAGTCAACAATGCAAAGAACAGTTAGTTTATGCATGTGAACAAATTTCTTCAAGAACATAATAAAGTTGAACAATAGCAAGAACTATATTAGGACAAAGAGGTATAACTCACCGGTGCACACCAATGGCGCACTTTAGACCAGTTAATTTCGCTGTAAGGTTCACAGTAAATTTCTTGTCTCAATTCCTCAACCAGAGGAGTGATCGGGCCAACAAATCTTGTGGCGTAAAAGTAAGACATAGGTAGGTAAGTCAACCTACAGTAGCAGAACATTTTTGCTGCAGATATGAAGTAGTACCAGTTAGAAAGACGTGTAACTATTTTGAGTAACAAGAAACTAGGGTGTGGAAGAAAATTGTGCTTACATGGATGAAAAGGAAGCAGTGTAGACCCAGTCCAGAATTCCGGGGGCATTGGGTTGCTGCCTTCCCAGTCATACACACCAAGAATCTGCAACACAAATCAAGTTAAACCATTTGAACAATAAAATGATCCCTTAAGATACATTCCTTGAGTGTGCATCCTTTTGCAGTATGAAATACTACTTTTATTTAAATCAACAAGTATGTTATACATACTGCCATCCAAGTTTTTCCCCATGATGCAGAATAGTAAGCACCACCACGATCAAGAATCCACTTTCGTGCCCTTGCGCATGCATTGTCACGCCCACCATCAGGGCCCTCTCCAAGAATACGCATCATACAGTAGTTAAGGCATGTAGTAAACATCATACTAGGGCCTGATATGTGCAGTCCCCACCCACCATCTTCATTCTGATGGTTGTATGTATACCGCAAGATTTCCTTCTTGTGCTCAGCTGAGAAAATAACATTGAGATATCCTGGAATGTATGCAGCCATGACCTGTAATTTTTTGGCAATGAAGAAAAAAAAAAGGAACAATGAGTCAGCTGTCACATACAAGTGCACCAAACGCCCAACTTTTTTACTGTCACTTTTAGAGCATCTGAATTTTTTACTGTATGGTAAATAAGGAGCAAATTACTCACCAAGGGAGGGAAGTAAAAGTTTGGGCCAGCATTTTCAGCAGGCCAATGTCCGTGGGGTGATTGCAAGGCATTCCAGAAGGTAGCAGCCCTCCTGAATGCAGCTGTGGCCTGATCATATGTAATCTCCTCACCCTCCCCAATTCTTACAGGAGGAATTTCTTGTTGGAAGTTTTTTTCTCTTAAAATCTGCAATTGGTCAAGGTAAAAATATATATATTAGTAAAATAAAATTAGTAATTTATTTTAAAAGTGCATTAATTTGTACCCAATTAAAAAAATAAATTGTTTATCTGATATGTTATCATACAAATACATGGAGAAGTCATAGGGAAAGAGTTGCCTTCCTTGTATCCTTCCCCTTTCCCTTTCCCTTTTACTCACCTGACCTAATAATACAAATCACCTATGAAACTTGATTATTAAATTCTCTGAATTAATGCAATATAAATATCATTAAGCTAAATAGTTATTAGAAGTATAATATGCTTACCCACCCACCAACTCAAATGTTGCCTTCTTCTATTTTTTAATTTTTAATTTTATATGAAAGTCCACTTCTATTTAAAAATAGAAAATAAAAGAATGAAATTGTAAGCATTTGTGTACCAATATAAAAGTCCAATTAGTTCAAAGGAAAGTTCCAACTAGGGGCCAACTTTGTTTGACCAATAAAAAGAGGGTTTGGGAAAAATAAAGAAGACGGCTAATGCTGGAGAGATTAAATTTGTAGACATAATTTACAAACTAAATTATGTGTTACCAATATGAATGAGCACGTTTATAAACGTTTAAGTGATAATCCAATCATAAACTTTCATGTCATTTAATTTATAAAATTTTGTCTACAAATATAATCTCCCTAACATTACCCAAGACAGATAATAAACAATGCTACACCTACCCAATGAAAAAAAAAACAATGCTACACCAACCCACTAACTAACGAGGCATGCATCTCACAAGGTGTTCTCTTTTCTTTGGCCGGCCACCACTCACAGTCTCACACTTGAACAGTTGGGAGTTTCAAAGTTCACAAGAGTTGACCAATGTTAATTATTCAAATTTTTTGGTGGAGTAATTTGTAAAAGAAATTTTTTGTTTTTTGTATCATATATATATATATATATATATATATATATATATATATATATATATATATCACATGCTTCAATTATTACATAACAAATAACGCAACTTAGTGAAATATATAAAATTGATTACATTATTGATCAGCTCTTAAACAGTTATGAACTTATTGTATAAAATCGATAACATTACTCATCAGCTCTAAAAAAGCTGTGAACTCATTGTACATGTTAATAAGATGATCAACACTATAATAAATTTTATGTGCTACTCATCAGTCATCATATATAGGTAGAACTACATCCCAATATCAAGATAAAATAGTATACGCTAGAAAAATGGTTGGGGTTGGATTTTTGATAATTAAATTCCTTCTTTTAATCTGAAAAAGCATAATCTTCTCGAGATTAATTTTAATCATTATTTTTATAGCATAATCTTGATAATGTGTAGCTCCACTAATGTGGTACCAATACCCTATACAATAAAATATATTCAGCAATTAAACTCAGAAATTTATAAATTATATATTTTTTAATAAAATGATATATTTATGTTAAGGGTTGAGATTTAGACAAGCTTAAAACTTGTCATCATTTATATATAAAAAGAAACAACACTAACTTTATTAATAAGTAGCTATAACTCATTTATCAGAAACACAAAACATTACCTGAAAACGCCATAGGAGGTCACTGCTAGGCGTGACCTTGAAGCGATTTTGGTAGAAATGCTCACGAGCAGCTTCAACTTCTGCTCGTTCCTCCTCGGTACCTGCATCTGGGTCGAACTCCCATGTCTGCCTTCCATGGAAGTTGTTTGTGCTGAACAAGAAGGGGTCGTTTGCACCTTCTCCAAACTTAATCCTCCACATCTTCTTTGATCACTTAATACAAATACATAACGAAATTAATTAGTAAGGGATTGAATATAGATCCAAGCAACTAGTTCTATGTAATTAAAATATTCAAGTAGGTTTTTATTTTTCTGAAAGGAAAAAAAAAAGCTGGTTGAATATGATTGAAAAATATTTATCTAGAGGCTAGTGAAATGTTGATCCATCTATGGTGGAGCTCCTGTTAGGGTTTGTAGCTGTATTGATTGTGAATATTTACCCCAAATGTCAGAGTTCGAACTATCTTTCCGTTTTAATCTTTTTGTGGAAAAGGGAAAAGGGAAAAATAATGATAAAAGAGGTTTAATTGAAAAGATTGATTAAGTTCTACAACTCACTGAAAGCTCTTCTTGATCATACGTAACTCAACCTCAATCATCCATTTGAACTCTTGCTACCCAAAATCTCTATGTAATGACCGAGAGAGAGAGAGAGAGATGATGATGATGAACAAATTGTAAACTTTAGGATATATATTTTTTAACATGTGCTAACTGCAGATAGATAGTACTGAAAAGGCTCTGGCCTTTAAGCTTGAGGACTCACCGATTGCAAAAACTGGCTCCGATGATGAGGAAGGAAAGGAAGGAGTTTGCTTGAGTTGCTTGGCACAAATGCTAAGTCTCTGTGTGATTATTGATGCATGGGAAACCCCACTTTATACGGTCACATACCCTACAGAGGCCGACAATAAAAAATAGCCATCCCCATTTTTTGCAATATTTAATCACCATCTTGTGCTGTGTGAGTATGCGTGTAACCAGAGAAATTAAAAGGTTTATCGCTTTTGGTCAACTTTGGTGTTTTCTGAATTTCTCAGGCTCTTTGTTATTTGCTAATGTTATTTTCTCACAATTTTGTCCAAAATGCGTAATTTATAAAAAGGAACATTACATATGGTTTTTTTTTTTTGGCAGAAACCGCCGGATAGAATCGGTCAGAAGGACATATAGTATCAAAGAAATAAAACATTCCAGGAATCCTCATGATGCTATATTTTGGATGTATGCTGAAATTTGATACCCCAAAGGAAGAAATGTGCCGAATGGATAAAAGGTATAAAAATTGTCTCTCAATAAAATCCTGGTTAGAGTGGATGAAAAAAATATTTTCCTTAACATGCGTGTGGAAGTCAATCTTAGCACCCTATACTTGTTTAAGCTACCACTAAACCAAACAAAAAATGTCATTGTTCTTGTTTTCTGAAACAAAGTGTTTTTTAAACTCTTAATTTAGAAATGTTGCACTTCTAAATTAGTAAGGAATGTGATTGTATAAATCATTGGGATTCTGTAATATTGTTTAGATAGTCTCCTAGTTGTCATGTATTACTTGAAAGACGAGGATTCTCCATTCCTTATTATTATAAATAAAGGCACAATGTGATGAGAAATTTTCACCACAGAATCAAAAATTCTATCTTCTCCCTGTCTTTGCCGTCGGCCCCTCTCCCTCTCTTTACCCTTAATCAAATAGGCCTATAACATGTTATTAGCATGCTCCTGATGCTGCAGTAAGGAACTAAAGGTTCTTAGAGGGTGTTCTTCTACAACTAGCACCCAAAGGCTTTCTTCGTTTCCATCCAATCCAGATTCTTGTAAAACACAAAAATTGATATTTTATAAGTCCTGATAGCATGAAAATATTCACCATGATGCATGAACCCCAAGTTTATTATTGCTTTATATTACATAAATTGCTCAATTATATGTTGTTCATCCATATGAAATATTATTATTTTGATTTTGCATACCCAATATTATATTTTTATTATAGTATTTTGCATATGCAATATTATATTTTTATTATAGTATTGGATACTACTATGTTGAATTGTGTGAGTACAAAGAAAAACAAGAAAATAGAAGCAGAAACTAGAGATTTAAAAACCCTAATCGCGAGCCGCACTGAGAGAGAAAAAAAAATTGTGGCCAAGTCGCGCTGAGCCACCGAGCAGTGGTCTGAAGCCACGCTACTAATCGCACTGAGTCACGCCAAGCACGGCCTGAAGCCGAGCCACACTAAGCCAACTCGCATCGAGTCGCGCTGCAACGCTGTTCCAGAATGACGTTGTCTTGGTGTCAGGTTTCCATACCTTTGGGCATGCTACTGAGCGCGAAGCCCAAGCTCAATTCCTATGGATTTCTTCCACTGTCTAGCATGCAATACTTCTCAGCCTGCCTTGCCTCGATGGGCTGTCCTTACTCTTGAAACCTGGGGTTGCTGATGCTGGGTTGTTTCCTTATTAGCCCAAAGCCATTTTTTGCTTGTTTTTATTTCCAACCCACACCTAATTTTGCAGGGATGGTCACGGCCACACCCATATTTGGGCTTTCTCATTTGTTCAGCTCACAACCAATATGACCTGAACGTCTATATTTTCTTCCTTCCACGATCGACACCTATCTGGTCTCAATCTAGTGAATTAATTTAGTAATTCGCAATCTATTAAGTTGGGAGCCAAATTTTTGGCCCGCAATCCACTTTTGTAAATTAACAACTTAATTATGTTTTTATTTAAACAATTGACATCCTTTCGTAGTCCCAAAGCTACTTACACCAAGCCCCCAAAGCAACCCCAAATCACTACACTAGTTTATATATTGCATCTTGTGTTCTTGTAGATACCTTTTTATATATGAATCGGAAGTTCATCTAAATTGAATATGTAGTTTCTAATTAAGTTGGGAGACAAATTTTTGGCCCGCAATCCACTTTTGTAAATTAACAACTTAGTTATGTTTTTATTTAAACAATTGACATCCTTTCATAGTTCCAAAGCTACTTACACTACGTCCCCGAAGCAACCCCAAATCACTACACTAGTTTATATATTGCATCTTGTGTTCTTGTAGATACCTTTTTATATATGAATCGGAAGTTCATCTAAATCGAATATGTAGTTTCTAATTTAATGCCTTTGAAACTTAAAGTTTTCATACAAAAATACGCCCATGAAACCTGAAGTTTTTCATGAAAATTAAACGAAAACATGTCTATAGAACATGAATGTTCTAGTTTAACCACAATCTCGTTCCTTCCATTGCAACGACATTTTAAACTTGAACAAACAACTTTACCACTCTAGAAGTCTCTAGAAGAAACTACCTGAAGCGGGTTTAAGATCAAAGCTCCACCTCACCACCAAAAGTCTCACAACCACCATTGAAGAGGCTACAGACGAATCGGTTGACAAAGCTGACAAAGCAACAACCATGATTTTCATAATGAAAAATCTGTATGATGCATTGCAAACCGAATACCTCGTTGAAGAGGATACACGACTCTTAGGCTCTCTTTAGCAAAGCAATTCGATCACCAGAAAAATATCTTCTTGCCTGAAGTAAGACATGATTAGCAGCACTTACACTTCCAAGACTTCACGTCTTTGAATGAGTACAATTCTGAAGTTTGTCGAATCTGACCACTTATCAAGTTCTGTAATGAGGACTTGATTGAACAAGATCTTCTGGAGAATGCCTATTCAACTTTCCATGCCACTAATATTGTCTTGCAACAACAATATGGGGCACAAAAATTCACTAAGTTTTTGGATTTTCTCTCTGTCTTACTACTTGCTTAAAAGAAAAACTAGCCTTTTTTATGAAGAACCATCAAGCTAGACTTATTGGCTCGAACGTTGCACCTAAAAAGCATGCCACCACTTCTCGAGGCTACAAAGGATGCAAGAAGCATCATGCCCATGCAAAAGAACCCTAAACCACGGCCCAAGGTTGATAGAGCAGAGGCCCTCCTAAGGGAGAAAATCCGACCCCGACATGCGATTCCCTAGGTTCCAAAACTTCTAACTTCAAGAATAGGTGTAAAGCTTAAACAATCAAACTTCTAATGATCTTGATATGTGTTACCAATGTGGGTCCAAAGAATGTTGGTCTTGCGTTTACTAAACTTCCCTTGACGCTATTGCTAAGTATCATTCATGTCATCAGAAGATTGAGACAAACTTTTCACAAGTGGATAATCCCAAAGGTACAACCACCGAGATTTATGATTTTCAAGAGGCATCTGCTCCGATGGAAGATTAGATCAATTTTTTAAACATTTTGGCCGAGTTCCCCCTAGTGGCCGACCTCACTATTGGCTGTACACATTAATGGTTGAACACATAAGTGGTCGAACCCCCTATTTTTCATGGTTTAATTTTTCGAACAATTTTCTATGTATTTGGACTATTCATTTGGTTCTTTGTTTTAAACTTTTGGATAATTACTTTATAGATACTATTTCACGATAATTAATGTGACCAATTCAATTAATTTATTTCTAGCTATGTCTTGTGGAAAAGTTAGTCATATGGCAAATAGTGCAACTATGCACACCATATTGCATGAATGTCATTATTCCACCAACTTCGTACCTAAAAATTCACCTCTAATAACCCTTTCCAGCCCCTCCAACTTGATTGAAGGGTATGACATTGCCAATATCATTTTGTCCAATGGTACTGCATTAACCATTAAAGAGGTTTTCCTTGTCTCATCTCATTACGGACTAATGTCATTTAGCTTTAAAGATATTCGAGAGAATAACTATCATGCCAAAACCACTGAAGAGAATGGTTTAGAATATCTTTGTATTTCATACGAATATAGCTAGAAACGTATTCATTAGAAGATGGAACACCTCCATAATGGATTGTATGTTTCAACCATATGAGCAGTGGAGGCCTGCCATGTGGCCAGCCAGAAGTTTGGGTTTCAGAGCACTTGCTTACTTTGGCATGTTCGTTTAGAACATTCAAAAAGAGATATGATGTGTTGTATCATCAATCATCTAAAGGGCATCCTCTTACCAGAAATTTCAAAATCATTCATGGGAATACGCCATGTCAAGCTTGATCTTTGGTGAAATTGTTAACTTAACCCTCAAATACAAAGATCATCTTCGGAGTTACTTCAGCAGATTTAAAGGGATATTTATGGACCTATTTGTAAAGACCCGAAATTTCTAATTCAAAAGCCATACACACAGGTAGGCCACAATAAAATAATGGTTAATTATAATTCTAACTAACCACACTAAATAATAATAATAATAATAATAATAATAATAATAATTTTATTTAATTTATAGCAGCATCTAACATCCTGGTTAGACTGCCTACGTACCCTAAATGAAGGGATCAAGCTAGTCGTAGTTCACATTACGCTTCTAGAATAACATACTAAAATCTCATTATCATCCGACGGTCGGATCTCCGCTCCAATGCTCCGCCAACTCCTAGAAAATGGTGGCCCTCAATTCGCCAACTTCGATGCTCTGCCGCCCTAACCAAGACTTGGGACATGTTCCTAGGTCCACAAGGAGTCAACCCATGGTGGTGGTCGACGGTGGTAGATTCAAAATCGAAATGATAGCGCTCGTGGGTGCCTTCAGACCCACTGGAGAAGACGACGAGAGTTCATCGTGAAACCTCAACCACAACCGTCCTACTTAGGTGGGAATGGAAGTTGGGACAATGAGGAGTTAATTGGTGGTGGTGCGTTGCTCAACTCGTTGGGAAAACTGACGGAAATTCGTCTGGAAGGCAGCGGAATGGGTCGGGTCTCATGGGTCAACTCGTTTCCCTTTTCTTTTTCTTCTCTCTCATGCCCTCATTTACCTCTTCCTAATTGGGCCAAATCTCCCTCCCCCATTATCCTTTCTATATTCCTTCTTCATCACAACCACACATGTGGCACTCCCATTGCTCCAGTTTTTATGGAGCCTTCCAAATTAATGAGGTAAAATGTCTATTTTACCCTCAACTTCAATCATTATTAACTTCTTCATTATAACTCCGTTTCACGAACGGTTTTCGCCTATGCGCTCATAGGATCAAACTCTATCCATATATGTCAAGAAATACAATAAAATATATGAGGATAAAATACGTCCTCGTAAAATTTCGTTTTAATCAACGAGGGGCATTTTCCACTTATCAATAAATTTTTCTACGTTTTCATATATTTTAAATTTTCTAGGGTATTACACTATTCAACCAACATGCAAACCATTTAAATATTTTATGGTTTAGTTGATCCATCAACATGTTGGTCACTTGTTTTCCTACTATCCACACCCAATGCTAAATTTGAGAAACTCTAGCACAAATTATTAAGCTTAGGCTCACCACCCTGATTATCCAATTAAGTCGATTCTTCTGGATAATGTTGGAGAGTTTACGCCATAGACTTCTGACGATTATTGCATGGTAGTTGGGTTTGAATTTGAACATCATTTACCTCATGTTCATACCCAAAATGGCCTAGCAGAAAAGTTCATTAAGTGCCTTTAATTTGATCGCTCAGGCCTTGCTCATGCGCACTAAGCTCCTGGTCTTTGCTTAGGCCTATGTAATTTTGCATGCAGCTATGTTGGTCTATCTGAGGCCTACCATTACCTAGTCATTTTCACCATTATAGTTAGTTACTGGGAATGAGCCTGACATTGCGCACTTACATATATTTGGGTGCACAATGTATATGCCAATACTGACGCCACTACGTACCAAAATGGGTCCTCAGAGATAAATACGAATCGAATCTATTTCAGTTATAATTCACCATCCATTATTTTCTATTTAGAGCCTTTGACAAACAATATCTTTACCGCACGTTTTGGGGATTATCACTTCGATAAGACAATCTTCCCATCATTAGGGGAAGATAAGAACATTAATGTTCCTGAAGAACATTGTGGATTGTCATGGATTACCCACACTATGTCACATTTAGATCCCTGCACTCCATAGTAACTAAAGTTCGTCGTATTTTAGATCTACAAAGCATTGATCAAAGCATACCTGATGAACTAGCAAAAGTGAAGAAATCACATATACTAGCTACAAACGTGCCAGTAAGAATATATGTACCTCACATACATCAAAGCATCACCCCTGAATGACGAGTTACCCCCAAATGACGGTTGGCCACATCCATTACACGGCTCGGTGCATTGTGGCTAGCCAATCATCTAATCCTACCTCAAACTGTGGCAAACCTGTTGATTCGAAGAATTCATAACCCTGAAATAGGAAACCTACGAAACACCCTAGTGAAACTAGTATGAATCTGATCATCACCTACTCAACCGTTTCAACGCATGAGGTTATTCTACATTACAGAAGCGTCTTGAAAAAGACGAATCCGCTCCCAAGAATCATGAGATTTCGGTCTATTATGCTTGGATAAGGTTTGGAATCGGAATGAGATAATAGTCGATGATGCATTTACATACATTGTAGTTATTGATATCATGCTAAGTGATGACATTGAAGCGCGTTCCATTGATGAATGTCGATGTAAAACTAATTGGTTAAACTAGAAATAAGCAATCTAGGTCGAACTTGATTCACTTTCAAAACACAAGGTGTTTGGGCCCATAGTTCCTACACCTTTACATGTGAAGCATGTGGGCTACAAGTGGATTTTCGTAAGAAAGCTAACGAGAAGAATAAAATAGTGCAATATAAGGCACTCCTCGTGGTGCAAGGTTTCTCTCAACACCCTGAGATTGATTACGAGAAGACGTATTCCCCTGGAATGGACATTATAATGTTCTGATATCTTATTAGTTTAGTAGTTTTTAAAAAAACTGAGTTGCAGTTTAGGACATGGTAACCGCGTATCTCTATGGGATCTTGATATAGAAATCTATATGAAAGCTCCTGAAGGACTTATATTGGTTGGAATAAATAGTTCTAGATTATGGAACATCCTTCTAATTAGATTGAGGCGTTCACTCTACAAATCGAAACAATATGTGCGGATGTGGTATAACTGTCTGAGTGAGTATTGATTGGTCAGGGATATATGAATAATAAATTATGCTCATGCATGTTCATTAAGAACTCATGTTCCAAATTTGTGACAACTGCAGTTTATGTCAATGACATGAATCTTATTAGGACTTTCGAAGAGCTTAAGAAAATTCGATATTGCCTAAGCCTAGAGCTTGAGCATTGTTCGAGTGGTATTCTGGTTTATCAATTGAATTATATCCATAAGATGTTGAGACACTTCAATGAGGATAAAGAGAAACCTTCACGTACTCCTATGGTTGTTTGTATGCTTGTTGAAAAACAAGATCCTTCCCGTCATAAAGACGATGAAGAAGAGGTTTTGGAGCTTGAAATTTCATACCTGAGTTTAATTGACGCTTTATTATACTTAGCTCAATGCATTATACCAGACATATCCTTCATTGTTAATCTTCACAAAAGATATAGCAACGTGGCTACATGCAAACATTAGACTAGTGTTAAAGACATATTTCGTTACCTCAAAGGTACTACAAAGTTGGGCTTGTTCAATCTCTATGCATCCTCGAGTGAAACCGTTGCCCCTCTTGATCCTCTAGTTGATTCTCACCTTGTTGGTTATGTTAATGTAGGTTATTTATGTAATCTGCGTAAGGCATGTTCTCAAACAAATACCATTGGAGACACCACAATATCTTGGAGGTCAACCAAGCAGACCTTAGTTGCAATTTCTTTGAACCATGATGAAATTCTTGCCCTACATGAAGCTACGTGTGAATGCTTTTGGCTGAGAGCCGTTATGGAGTATAGTTGACACACTTGCGGATTACTTCCGTCGTTCACGATCCTACAACAATTTATGAAACCAACAATGCCTGTATCAACCATATCAATAAGGGATACATCAAAGGAGACAACACCAAGTATATTATGCCAAAATTCTCACATCAGGAACAAGAGCATTAGAAGATTGAAGTCAAGCAAATCCATTCTCAGGACAACCTTGCCAGCCTCTTTACAAAGTCATTGGCGATGTTTACTTTCCAGAAGCTTGTTCAAGAAATTAGTAAATTATCTGATTTGAATTGCTTGTAGTTTTCATTTGGAAGTTTTTTCAAACTCAAGGGAAATATCCAGAAACATACTCACTTGATCTTAATGTACTCTTTTTCCCCATGCTTAGGAGCATTTTTTTTCTTTTTTGAATTTTTGCTACCTAATGAAGTTTTAACAAGGTACCCATCCTGGGCTGGTAATATCTTTGTGTGTGTTCTACTTGCGTCATTAAGGCGTTTTGTTTTGACTTAATGCAAACTCTCATTTTTCTCCTTAGACTATTGGTGTTTTATCCTATCATGGGTATAAATAATGTATTTAAAACTTATGGTACATTTGAAAATAAACATACCGACTTTTGGTACATTTAGATTCCAAATGTACCAAAAAACAAAATGTACAAGAAATTCAAATGTATGATGAAATCAAATGTACCCTTATTATAGGTAATCAAACGTACTATTATAATCAAACGATGGTACAATGAAACGTACCTATAATAAAATTATAGAAATTATAGAAAAAATGTTTAATCAGATTCTTACAAGAAACAGATGTTTAATCAACGAAAATAAAAAAAACGAGACACTTGTATCAAAACGCCTCTAAATTTAAAAGTGCATTAGATTCCAAGTTTTGGTTCTACGCTTCAAATTACATTTATGAGGTAATAATCAAACTTGGAAAAAAAAAATATTTGACAGATCAAAAGAGACCACTTGAGTTGTTTTTTCTTTTTATTTTTTTTATTTTTTTTAATAAACGATATTATCTACATTAAAAAAAATAAATTTAACTTAACAATGAGTTAGCAATCAGTGATAAATCTTGAAGCTAAACAAAGCAATTTTATAATGCAGTACGTAAACTTTGACTACTTTTTCTTTTGGGTCCAAAATGTTTGACTACTTATTAGTGGTCGATATATTTGTTGAAGGTTCTTGCAATCTCACAAGAGAACTTTTGGTGTTAAAAATATAAAATGGCGGGCTTGACCTTTTCAACGCCAATTATTGAAGTATTTAATCCACCACCATCATCGACATTTAGATTCATAATTAGATTTTATCTGATTTAAGCATAGATTTTTCGTGTAACCCATGAATTAAGGGGTGTAGTCAAATAAGGATTTAAATAGATTTTAAAAGATTTTAAAAGACTTTAGAATTCAGGTGTAGTCAACTAGGATTTTAAAAGAATTTAAGAGAGTCCATTCAAATACAGGGGTAGTCAACTAACACTACGTTTGGATAAGAGAAATAAACTTGGAATTTGTATAAAAGTCAGAATTTATAAATTGACATGCACTAATTCCCTTGTTTGGATTCATAACTATAGAAATTTAGAATTTCCGCGTGAAAAATAACTTGGAATTTGGGACCTCTAATTCCCGAGTTTAAATTCTATGTAAATAGCCGTCATTTCTCAATTTCTATGATTGAGAGTTTAAAAATAACAAATTCCATATTCAATTTCATTGTTCTTTTAGGTTAACCAAACAAGAAAATTAACAAATTATAGAAAATAAAATCATGTCATTTTAATTTCCATCATTTTGAAATTCCTTAGTAATCTTAAATTTCTTTATCCAAACATAGTGTAAAGGCTTTTTAAGGATTTTAGAATCATGGTGTAGTCAATTAGGATTTTAAAGGATTTTTATTTTTATTTTTTTGTCAAAAGATAGATTTTATTTATAATCTAATTGAAATATTTACATCCATAGCAAGAATATTAAATAAAAATTCAGGACCTATCTCGTCTCACACAAATGGACCACCATGTTTGGCAGTAAACGAGGCAACCGTGAGCAGCCAGGTTGCTCCCCCGCAGCACAAACCCTATTTTGACATCTCCAATATGCTTCACCAAAGAATCAATATCAAACAGAAGACATTCCAAATCAGCATCCACTTCAATCTCCTTGTTAATCATTCGTAATAGCACCTGGGCATCCAATTCAATCTCCACCTTCGTAAATCCTTCGTTTTTGCAAAACACAAGCGTTGCACAAATGGCCTCCGCTTCCGCCAAGATTGCAGAATTAAAAGGCCTCTTTTCCGCCCCTCCTGCTCTCCGCAAACACCCTGTAAAATCTCGAATCACCCACACATAACTCCCCAGCCCCGTCTTCAAATTCCATGATCCATCACAATTTACTTTCAAAGTACCAAACTTTGGTTTCCTCCACCCTTCAGTTGCTTCACCATCCTCCTGTGCCCCAATTTCTTTTGAGTTAACCAAAGAATCCTTCGCCTCCTTCTCAAATACCCGATGCTCACCCACATGTCTCCTCCATACCTCAATTGCCTCCATTGGATTCCATGTTTTCCCTTGAAACACCACATCATTTATGCACTTCCAAATTCTCCACAACCCGAAGACCACGTCCTAGAGAATTTCTTCCTGCCTTGCCATTCCTTTAATACGTGACAACAAAGCCTCCCAACATCCCCTAAAGTCTTGTCCCACTAGAGACAATGAATCAATTTGTAAAGGGTAGCAAAACTAGAACACTTTACTAAATACACACCGGAAAAAAAAGATGTTCCTCCGTTTCCTCCACAGCGTCACACACCGCACACCTACCATCCACATTCATAAGTCTCTGAAGCAAGTTCCTTCTTACCGCCAACGAACCATTGCAACATCTCCACATAAAAAAAAATTAGTTTATTAGGAACATGAAGCCCCCAAATTCCTTTCCACAACCGGTCCCCTTCAACCTTCCCACTTGTCATGCCCATACCTCTTCTCCCAAACTCCCCATTCGCTTGCAACTCCATCGCCGCCTTATACCCCGTTCAAACCGTATACCCTCCATGTTTCATATGATGCCAAATAAGCCTACACTTACAACTGAACAAACTCAATGGTATTCCCAAAATTAACTTTGACTCTTCCTCATCAAAAAGCTCATGTACCATCTCCATATTCCACCCACTCAACTCAAAATCAATCAAATCGCTAACCCATTCTGGCCTCAAGGCATTTTGAGTTTGAAGTTTGAAAGTGTTAGGTATAGGAATCCAAGGATCTCCAGTTACTCTGATATTCGTTCCATCCCCCACCCTCCAGCGTAACCCCCAAGAAATTTTTTCCCCTGAAAAATACCTTTCCAACCCCATGATGATTTACACCTCAACTTTGCATTCAAAAAAGTTGTGTTCGAAAAGTATTTATCTTTAAGTACCCAAGCCAACAGCGAGTCCGGAGTCATCATCAAATGCCACCCAATTTTAGCCAAGAACGGAAGGTTCAGCATTGTAAGTCCCTAAACCCCAATATGCCCCCACCTTTCTCTTCTTCAATTTTTCCCATGCAATCCAAGGTATTCTAGAATTTTTTTTGTTTCCCTTCCACCAAAATCTCGCTATTTCCCGCTCCATCTCTTTGCGTACTCACCGGAAGCTTAAAACATGACATCGTGTAGTTTGGCATAGCTATTGCAACCACCTTAATTAACACTTCCTTACCCGCTTGCGACAAATATTGCTCTGCCCATCCATTAAACCATGCATCCATACCTTTCCGGACTTTTTCGAACACCACATGCTTGGAATGCCCAAAATCTACTAGCAAACCCAAGTACTTCCCAAAACCATCCCTATCTTGAATATTAATCCATTGCCCAATTGTCTTCCTTGGCCGTTTAGAACAATTAGCTCCAAAAAATAAGGAGCTTTTCTCTCGATTAATAAATTGCCGGGAACCGTCCGCATAACAATCAAGCACCTCTAGTACCCCCTGGACCTCCTGTGCTGAAGCTTGACAAAAAATCACCAAAGCATCAGCAAAAAATAGATGTGAGATAGACGACATACCCCCCGGGGCAACCTGCATATCGTGGAGCACCCGAATTTCTTTGTTTCGACTTAAAAGTGCCGACAAACCTTCTGCATAAATAAAAAACGAGAATGGAGACATTGGATCTCCTTGCCTAAGACCCCTCTATGGTTGAATGTATCTGCTTGGCAAACCATTAATCAAAACGCTATAAGTAATAGTGGAAATGCATGCCTCATATCTCTTGCAAAATTCTTCACAGAAACCCAGTTTACGCATCATTGCCAACAAAAAACTCCACTCCATCCTATCATACGCCTTCGCCACATCTAATTTCATTGCCAAATGTTGATCTTCACCAGCTGGCTACATTTTTAAAGAATGAAAAATCTCATGAACAACTAGGATATTGTCTTGGATTTACCTCCTCGCCACAAATGCGGATTGATTCATAATAATAATTCTCGGCAAAACCACCTTCATTCGGTTCATGATAATCTTCGCAAAGATTTTATATAACACATTACATAAAGAGATCAGTCGTAATTGTGTGATCTTCCTCGGGCATGCAACCTTTGGGATTAGCACTATGTGTGTATGATTGACTTTTTCCAACAATATACTTGAATGCTAGAAAGCCTGCACCATCAGAATAATCTCACCCCCCACCACCTCCCAATGATCCCCCAAAAAAACCACTCGAGAACCCACCCGGACCTGGTGACTTAGAAGTAGGAATTTGAAAAGCTGCACTTCAAACTTTTTCATCTGATATAGGCATCATCAACTCCTCATTATCCCCCACACTAACTCTTGGATCAACCCACTCCGTCACCTACTGAACCCGTCGTGGGTTACTTGTAGTTAATAAGTTAACAAAATATTCCCCGCCATATCCTCAACCTTAGCCAAGTCCTCCCACCATACCCCGTTATCATCCTCCAAACCTCTAATACGATTACTTCTTCTCCACTTTACCGTTTAAGCATGAAAGAATTTGATATTTTTATCCCCTTCTTTTAACCATTGAATTCGTGATTTCGCCTTCCAATAGAGTTCCTCCTCCCTGACTAATTTTTTCAACTCCATTTCTTTTTCTATAACCTCAGCACCGGCATAACACTCAGACTTATACGCACCATGGAGTAGTACTAGGATGGGTGACCTCCTGGGAAGTCCTCGTGTTACAACCCCCCACCTCTTCTTTTTCGTAATATTTTTCATGCACCGGATCCTATCAGAACTCCAAAATTAAGTGAGTTTGGGCGAGAGTAATACTATGATGGGTGACTCCTGGGAAGTCCTCATGTTGCATCCCACATCCCACCACCTTTTTTTACTAAAAAACATTGAGATTTTGTTCCTCGAAAGAAGGAGATCTAAGGTTTGGGTTGCGACGAACGTCAGTGACCAAGGTTTTTGATGATTTTGAGTGCAATCTCAATGATTTGTCAAGTATTTTGTAGCGTTAGTGTGATCTGGCATAGGCTTCGGCGTAGTTGTGCGAGTGAGTGTTTGTTACGCAGTGTTAAAGAGTTATGTTTGTACTAGGGGAAGACTAGGGTTTTGGTGGAGTGTGGTTGGCTTAGGAAGAGTAAGACTTTGAGAATGGCGCAGCATGGAGAAGTGTTCAAAGGGGGATTATTTCGCTGACTTGGGAATGAGGTTTGGTGCTAAACTTTCCCTGTCAGAGAAGGAGAGGGTGGGGATTACTGTTGGCCGATGGAAAGTTGATGAGGCTTTGTTGGGGTTCCACCACTGCTTGTTGGTGGAAGTCTTAACAGACAAGGAGGTGAATAGAGATGCCTTCATTGATTATTTTACTTCGTTATGGAGAGGAATGGAGGGTGTCTCTATTAGAGAACTCGGTGATCGAAGGTTTTTGGCGAGATTTGTGAGGAAGCAAGATTTGCATCGAGTGTTAAAGATTGATATTCCATGGATGTTTAAGGGTAATCTAGTCATGATTACAAACTGTACGGCAAGGGAAAATCATCTTTGGGATTCCTTATCGTTAGGGATGTTTTGGGTGCAGTTCCACAACGATCCCCCGTTGTGCATGACGGAAGGGGTGGCGTTAGCGATTGGTGAATGTATGGGATAAATCTTCAAGTAGGGACTGCATTGGGAGGTTCCTGAGAGTTAAGATGCGTTTCAATGAAGGATTTTATTGAGTCTATGCAAATCTATATGTATTAAATTTTTTAGAAGGATTTCATTGAATGAGTAATTTTATAGGATTTGCGAAGAGATGGTAAACTTAGAAAGACTATAAAGAATCTTATCTCCACCCCTAGGATTTCTTTCTAACCCCCTTCTCTCTCTCTCTCTCTCTCTCTCTCCACTCTGCAACCGAGCTTTCTTTCTTTCTCTCTTCCCATTTCATTGAAAATATTTATTCTTGTTAGATTGCTTTTTGGAGGTGTATAACACACAAGCCAAAATCAAACTAATTATCCACTGCATCCCTCCCTGACA